CTGCCCTAAAGGCATTTGGAGCAAAAAAAAAAAAAGTATGATGAATGCTCAAGCTTCTGGTAATTAAGGCCATGTGAGTTAAAGCCAACTTGATACCCATTTTGCACCTGCAGTATTGGCAAACATCAAAAATAAATCCCACCCAAGGCAATGCTGGTGATACAAAATGAAGGAGCTCTCCTTCCCTATTCGAGTACTGATAAGTGTAATCCCTTTAGAAAAGAGTTTATCATTCATGGTACAACAGGTGGAATGCCTGGCCCAAATCCTTTTTCAAAAGAGGTATTTGACAGGCATCTAGGAAAGTCTTCCTGAAGTCCACAGTGATGGTTAATCTTGCATGCCAAGTTGATTGGATTGAGTATGTCCAGGAATTCAGAAAAGCACACTTCTGGGGGTGTCCAAGAAAGAGTTTTTCCAGGGATGCATGACACGGGGGTTATCAAACCGAAGGGAGAAATGCAGACAGCACCTGAACACAGACAGCACCAGCCAATAAGGTGGAGTGGGGGTGAACCGAAAGCAGGAGGTGGGGAAGCCTCACACGCTGTCTCTTCTGCTTCCTGACTGCCCCAGGTAAGCATTCTCCTGTGCCAGACTTCCGCCATAACAAGCCACCTTGGAGGGTGCGGACCATGGACTAGCATCTCTGAAAACATGATTCAAGGCCTCAGTGCCTTGCCGTTCTCTGGCATTGTCACAGTGATGGAAAGCTAGCAGTCTACTAAGATGCGGTACCAGACTGTACAGCACGCTTGTAGTGAAAAACAAACAAACCCCTCAAGAATTCACCCACACTGGGGTAGGCAAGCCAATCTGGGCAGAACAAGAAGAAGGAATGTGTAGAGCAGAGGGTGAAACTCAACACTTACTATTACAGCAAAGAAGCAAACGGCAAAAAACAAAACAAAAATTTAATAAACCACAGACTCTCTGATATTGTTTACTTAAATTTCAAAAGCAAGTGGAGGCAAACAATGCATTGTTTAGGTATCGTGCAATAGTTATTAATAATAAAAGGAGAAAAGCAAGTTATGATTATTTCTCAGCATGAAAGGACATGTGGGATTTGCAAGGACCTGGTAGTGTTCTCTTTCCCTTGGTGTGGTGTTGTCCTTATGTGCTATAGGCATGTCCATCACACACACACACACACACACACACACACACACACACACACACACACTCACACATGTACAATGTACCTGTCATTCAAAAGCTTTTAAGAATAATATGAACTTCTTATATTTCTTTTTTACACTTTTCTTCTGGATGGTTAAGATCAAGGTAAAGCAGGACCTATGCAACAAGAGTTGTAGCTTTTGGGTCTGATAAGGTCAGTGAAATCCCTTCAGGATTTATCCTGAGATCCTGTACCTCAGATTGTAGAACCTTTGTCAGTGTCAGCCATGTGGATGAGTCACGGCCATTG